AATTTTCCGCGTTTCACATGAGAGGTGTTAAAAATAACGGTTTTGTGTTGGGATTGAACTCCAGTAAAATTCTTTACTTACAGTAAAGTCAACAGTGTGTCAACGGACGGAGTTGCTGAAAATAGAAAAATCTTCATTATTTATATTATAAAATACTTTTCCAATTTTTTTACATTTAGAATAACCATATGGTATTTGCGATTTATTGCAGAAGATTTACTGCAGAAATTCACAAAAAATCAAGGAAGTCGTTTTAGTAAACGTTTGTATCTAATTTATGTAAAATTTACTCTAAGTGGTCTACCTTGATTTTTTGTGAAATCCTGAAAATAATCACATAAACCTACCACCGCAAACAGTTTGAAATTACTTACAGTGTTGTAATTATTCATTATCGTCTGAAGAAAACTCGTCGGATGATGAGCAACTATCGCGATCGTTATTATTCAAGTTAATAATCACTAGTTCAAATGCAATGTCCATTCTAGTGTTTTCTTCTATTATCGTATGTGTAGTGCATTATTCCATGACTCGGTGTTACATTTTCTATCTCAGTAGCTAGTAGGCCTTTTGCCTCATCCATTTCAAAAGTCAATTTTTCTTTCGTCACTTGGTTCTTTATTTGAGCCCATATTAGCTCGATCGGGTTTAGCTCATAATGGTAAGGAGGGAGGCGGTGTACAATTATGTTTCTTTCACGAACCATTTCTCCAACTGAGGTTCCTTGCAATATAGAGTAACTATTGATCTGCGCCCCAGCTCTGCACGGGTGCAATGCTGATACCAAATATATATTCATCCACTGGAAATTCAAGGGCATGGAGAAACAGCGATGAAAAGATAATTTCAACCTCCGAAAAATATAGCGGTACGAAGAAACAGTGATGAAAAGGTAATTTTCATATGTGAATGCGCCCTTTTCTCGTTGTTGATGTGCTTCAGGAAAGTGTTTAGTTCTGCATTCCCATGGTTTCATATTATGAAGGTGTCGTCCACGTATCTCAACCAGACTCGGGGCTTCTTGCGGGCTTGTTCAATGGCCATCTGTTTTTTGCTTAATAAATTTTTTTTCAGGGATTTCAAATCAATTTATACCGTATTAGACAATGGAAGTCCGAACTGATGAAATGCGCCACGAAACTTTGCCAACCACCTTCAAACAGTGTTTTATTTAATAATCCAAAAACTACTACATCAAATGTAGCTTTTTTGTAGGGTACCACTGAAGAGCATTAAGATGATGATGAGCTTTAGATGAGGTATCACAAGTAAGGGATTGCCATTCAAAAATATAAAGTTGGGGTGGCTGGGGGCGAGGGGGTAAGAGAAAACAAATTAGCTATTCCATCATTTTGTTTCCCCCTCCCTATTATAGGAGTTGTTTTCAGTCATTTCTCATATTTTATTTGGTTGCTCAGATATAGCCATTGTAAGTTTTCAAATTGTCATCACCTTGTATTTATATGGCGCTCTTATACACCAAAATTCTTCATATATCGTTGATACTGTTTACAAATGACAGTAGTTTCAAAATCATCGATAAAATTAAGCTGCAGATTTTTGAAGGCTGATCTGTCTGATTGACGTCATCTTCCGGAAAAGGAAAGCGACTGAGTATTACTTACATTGGAAGTGTTGATGTTTTTGTTGTGGACCATTTATTGGTGTTCGATTGGAAGCATTCTGGCGAATACTATGAAGATATTCACGGCGATGTGTTTGAAGAATATTTTGAGCAATTGTAACACCTCATTTCACAAAACTCATTCCACCCAACTCAGAAAAGTTGAAAGAATTCCAACTAATACCTAAGTATTAGAGAAGCAGATATTTTTGAGTAGCTTCGAAAAAAAAAAAGAAATTTGCTGAAAGTATGGTTGAAAAAGAATATCGTCCATTCAAATAAAGTTCCAGAAGGCCGTTTCGTCCCGGTAGTCAAGTTTTTTGTATCCTCGATCCATCTTTTCTGAGTGAATTGGTTGATGAGGAGACGTATGCGCGCGTTAAGTCGATTCCACTCAGTTTTTAGGACTGGGTCTCTGATTCGGACGAAATTTCTATAAAGTTTGCGTTTGTTTTTGATGAGAGTTATGAGATAAATTGGAAGTGGGGGTTGATTGGTTCGTCTGGTTGAGGTTGGAGTGGATAAGTCGTCTGAGTTGGAAATAATTTTTTGAATTATGTCGATTTGCGCGTCAATTTGTCTGGGATGGAGGAGTGAGAAAAGAAAGTTTTTGGTTAATAAGGAAGTGGAATCGTTTGACGTCTGTGAATTTGTGGTTTTTATAGAAAATGATTTCAGGGGTTGAAGGGATAGGGAAGTTTAGGAAAGTTTTGATGATTAGGGGGAGGTGATCCGATGTAATTGTGTCACCGATATAGGCCAGATCATCGACCACCACTATCAGACTCTCAGAGCACAAGATATGATCAATGATAGAGGCCAGGCCCCACGGTGGCTCAGATACGTCGGGTCGGGACNGTGACCAGTTCGGTCACGAAGAAGCTTTTGAAGAGTTTCAGCGGATTTTGAGTTGTTGGAGGTTTTGAGGAGAGCAGTTCGGTTAAAGTTAGCCTTGAGTTCAGTAATCTGTCTACGGAGAAATTCCGTGGATTTTAATAGGTTAAAGAGGGCCCTTTGACTTGCCAGATCGTCAGGGATTTCTCTTATATTGAAGATATTTAGGAGTTTGGGAAGTGGAACGTAAGTTGAGGTAAGCGGGGGGTCTTGGTAATCTCGTGCTCGGGAGAGGAGCCAGAGAAAGACGGGAAAGGATTTGTGAAAGGAATTTGGATTCTTTTTTGTTGGCGAGTTTGTCTCGCTATTGTAAATAAGGAGATATACGACCTTAAATTTGTTGTTTTCTTCGTTGGTGTTTTATCATGGGTTTGGCAGCACCTCCGGGTGCTACCTCTGACACTTCACTGGAACCTCCGCCTGTTGGATTAGGCTCTGTTGCCTCTATCAGAAGAGTTTGATTATAATAATCAGGGACTCCTCCTTCGGGATCAGGTACACTCACTTCACTTTAACTTTGCGCACAGGTCTTCGCTGGTCGATAGTTGACACTAGAATGCTTAAATCATGTAAAACCATATGCTGATCTAATGGTTGGAACACAGTGACAACCAGTACAAATGATTAAGAGTGGGTTGAAAATATCAAATTTCTTTTGACATCCCACCTTTCCAAAGACAGGTTCTCCAGCCACTAACAATCCCACCTAACCAATTGAATTTTTGTTATAGTATTTCCAATACCAATTGGAACAGCACAGAGAAGGGATTCCCGCCTCGACATAGGCGTCGGCATATCATTTTTCAGTGGTAGTTTTTCATTGTTCGAAAATGACGCAGGTAAAAACAGGATGTATGTGAATTTTACAAAAAATTACACAAAAATTTATACATATATTCAGGTAAGAACGTGTTCATTACCCACCTTACTACGTATATTTTCGTGTAATAGATACTAATAAGCTATTTATTTGAACTAAAATGAGCTATAAAAATAATAAACAGCCATACCTATAGGTTGTAGGGGGCACTTTTTTAAAAATTTCTTCTACAACTATAGGTGTTGTGAGCATCTGAAATCAAT